ATATTACTTACTAAATAGGACGGGCCTTAATTTCCTATATATTATATGGCCTCAACTATCAAAATTAAGCTAAGATGGTGTGACTCTCGGTATGGTTGTAGTCTCGTGGGTTGATCTCGTTTTCGCAACTTGGTCTTGTTGTCAGGACGACTTAGTTGAACGCACCTTGTCCGAAGTCCTTTGCCATAGTACTTATCATAACTCTTAGTATCAGACCGTGGACTTGGTACATTCTAAGATGTTTCGCCCACATAGTAGTCGGCATCATCACTGGATGTTGCCATTCTCCGCACCAAGCAACAAACACGTCAGAGGTAAGTGAAGTAAATCCCTCGACCAACGTTTCGCCGAAAACAGTTACACCTTCACTCCTCTTTCTGTCCTGGCCCATTTATCAGCTCCTTACACTCTTATCCCACTCCCACCCTATCACAACTTCTGACTTGTTTACATTCCACTCGTCAAAATGTGTACCCGTTTGGAAAAATTTAGTGTGGCTTCATCACACTTACTATTCCCCCTGACAACATCTCTTTTGATAAGCTAATCCGACTCTGTTCTCCTACCCGGATCTTCCTCATTGCTCCGTAGATCTGTTTATTATCCTTTTGGCTAAGCGATTTAACACAATTCCAGCTCCAGTGTGCGATTAACTACAGACGCTATTTCTCAAGGCCTTAAAAGCACGTGCAATGCAAAGCAGAGTGCCTAGGCTCTGATGCACATGCTTACAGATACTAAGCATTTCCCTCACGGGTCGTCTCCTTGCTTACACTCGCGTTACCTTAGCAAATTGTGGACGCCTATCCCTGGTCACCTGCGGCATCACAAGGGGATTTCTAGTATATTTTGGCCATAATGCTGAATTCCTGTGACGGTTCTGCTTATCTATCTCCCTAGTCTTCTAACTGCCAAGCCCCAAGGTTGTACTGATTTCTTCTAATAGATTTCACTCACTAAGAACATCTTCGCTTGATTTCCGAAATCCCTTTCTCTTCGGTTACCGATAGATCCTTGATCCAGGAATCTCCTCTTTGCTGTTCTTGCTGTATTAATGTTTTACCTGGGTCTGCTTAAGCAGTAGGCAAAGTTATCCCTATTTCTGCAATACTTACGAAGAAAAATGTTGTCCAGATATCTTGGTTAAACCTCGATTGGTTTCCTTAGCCTCACATTACCCCAATTTTATTGATACTATTGGAATTTTCGTCCAAATATATATAGTCTAATGCTCTTTCTTTGCTACCTTTAATCTTCGTCTTTCTTGAGCTCCCAATTTGTAGGCATCATAGTAGAACTTCATGCCGATACCAAAGAATACGAAGGAAAGGGCGCAGATCATCGGTCCGGTCATTTCACCAACATCCAAAGAGAGTTGAATGTTCATATAAATGTGGCGCAAGCAAAGGATGAGGATTCCAATAAAGAGAGAGATACCAAAGAGACAGAAACAAACAACTGCCCAAATGTAAGGCGTGCGAGCTTTTCCGAAGGTGACGGCGTTTAGACGGTTCTGGATTTTCATATCATGATGTTCAGCCTGGATTGTAGAACGCCCGCTTTTAGCAGTTGCCAAAGATGCCTGGCCGATTGAACAGAGATTGAAAGAAAGACTTAATAAAAGGAAAGTGAAGGGTTCGTAAAAAATGATAGAATTTGTTAACTTATATAAAATAAATAAGTCTTGAGACTTAATTTATTCCATTTACTCTTGTAGATTTTTTAAAAATATTAAGAAAGATCTAGCTACAAATCTTATAAACTTAATTTTGATATTTTAAATAGTTTCATAAAATTGGAAAGTACATAGACAGTGTTTGGCAGATTTTACTGCGTATATACTGACTAAAATAGTATAAGGATCATATAGCCTTTAAATATTCTGGGCCATAAGGGCTGATCTTTTCTAAGCATATAACTTTTTGCTAAGAACTCGAGCCTTCTTAGGCCGTCTACGACGATGTTGGCCTGATAATCGGGTTAACAGCAAGGAAATAAGTGGAAAGTTTCAAGGTGCCTTAGCTCAGCCTTACCGCACACTCTAACTCATTATCCAGAATCGACTGAGAATTCTTAGTATACTACATTTATAATAATGTAGTTAAGTATATTTGCAAGCAAAATTTTGTCTTAATGGCACTGGTTTAAGAGAAAGTGTAATTTATATGAGATATTGTTTTTTATGGAGAGTTACACATGACTCGTGACCCATTGACACCCGTTACTCTATAGAGTTGAAAAGTTGTTACTTAACACACAAGGCCTGATTTCAGAGCAGGCGGAAGAGTATTGTTGAGATACAAGAGGGGTCGAAACTGCAATAATGCCTTGATGAAAAAGCCTATTTAGAGACATAACTGAATAAAATTCAATGGAATCATAGATCCTTCTACTCATTTCATTATGGGAAACGAAATTATTAAGCATTTTACCACATACGATGGAGCTAGTTCTTACAAAAAATCAACTTATGCATTATTTCCCCTTGATAATTTAGTGTAAAGGAGAATAAGCTATTAGTTTTTAAAATGTCATTCAAGGTGCTTAAAAACAATTAACAGATTAAAATAAATCATTATAGATCACGCGTTAAACAAGGATTTAGCACAAAAGGTATTAGAATTACACGTTGCTTGATTCGATCTCACTAATTTTGTCCCGTAATAAAAACGTAGATGGATTAATATGGACACAAGCAATACGTATATACTGTGGTTAATTCAAATATAATTGCTAATTAGGCCATTATACCAGACACGAAATATCAATTATGGACAAGGCAACAGAACTGAGAATGTTAGTGGTCATTCATTATGTAGTCACAATTATTTAAATGAATTATATTTGGGCTCATAATGTTTTTCTACAATTAACTGAGGTCGCTAATGAGCTTGATGAATATTTAAATTTAGCATAAATATCATAGCCAAAATATTAATTCATACTTCTAAAAATGACAATGACAACTCTCAATTAACATAATTTGGTAAAGAAAATAAAAATGAATCTCACTTTTGAAGCTCCTAAACTTCGTGACAATTTTAAATGACTTGCACTATTAAGAGATCTTCCACCTTGAGTCGACTTTCCAGCAATCGTAGAGGGCTGATAACTGACTATACTAGCACTTCGCATTGCATATCCGGGTCGGCCAACATACGAGCCATTTTGTATCTGATTACTTCCTATAACTGAACCTGTAATACCATAGCCATTTTCATTTGAATCTCTTTGAGCAGATACCAGAACTTCAAATGGTACATGTGCTGTTTGATTATAATCTAATTTTGAGCCAGAACGGATATTACTAGCTCCCCCAGAGAGAATAGAACCAGAAATAATGGATCCATGTCCACCATTAGCATTTTCTGTTGCGCCTGTCGTATATTGTTGATTTGATTCTCCTGATCGTAGAGACGAATTACTGCCTGTTCGATATAGTTGGTTTTGTCGAGCTTGATGATGCTGAAGCCTAACAAGATGGCTTGACATGGGTAATTGTCCGTGTAAGCTAAAAAGACAGGTCATTAAAACCATAAATAAATATATGCTGATCAAACAATACTAAATAATAAAGCATCTAATAGAAATATAGATAGTT